AAGTATTGCTAACTTATTTGCAAAACACTTCGCATCAGTATACAGCCCAAAATCGAGTAGCAGTCAGTTTTCACGTCCATCCGAGTATATCTCCTGTAACAACGACTTACATCAGTTGTATATTTCTGAATGTAGTATCGAAAATAAACTGAAACGGCTGGATACATCTAAAGGATCGGGATGTGATGGGATACCACCTCTGTTCTATAAGGAATGTGCCGATCAGTTGACAAAGCCTCTTCATATTCTTTATAATAGATCCCTGTCTGAAGGAACATTCCCAGAACATTGGAAAGAGGCCATAATTGTACCTATACCCAAATCTGGCAACAAAGCCGATGTTAGTAATTATAGGCCAATAAACAAACTACCTATAGTAGCTAAAGTATTTGAATCTTTAGTATGTCCTTTTATAAATTGGCACATCAAGAATATAGTTTCTGAAAATCAGCATGGTTTCATCAAAAATAAATCCACTTTGACTAACTTGGTTGACTTTGTTGAAAATACTTTGACTGATATTAGTAAGGGCCATGAGGTTGATGCAATTTATAGTGACTTCTGCAAGGTTTTTGATAAAGTAGATCATAACATATTACTTCATAAGCTCTCTGTTATATTTAATATTCATGGATCTCTCTGGAGTTGGCTAAAAACATACTTGGTAAATCGCAGAGCTAAAGTTATTGTGAATGGGTACTCTTCTGATTACAATTAAAAAAACAATATATAGAATAGTATTATAGTAAGTTCAACAATAATAAAATAATAGTTTAATAGTATTATAGTTTTTGATTGTGATATGCTTTTGTTTTAGTTTTTTATCTAACCATAATTTTCTTGTTAACGTAGATCAAATTTTGAAACCTACATGTATGTTCACTTATGGAAAATGCTGTGCTCACCATTAATTTAAAAGCATACACATATATTATACTTGTATGAATGTTTTCTTGTGAAATATCTAGTATGTATTTTAGTCGTTAAGCCTTATGTTAAATAATAAAATAATAATTAATTACTGAATTTAATACAAAAAAATAGTAAAATGAAATGAGTGCGAAGTAGAAACTGAAGAAAAAAATTGTTCTTTATATTTTTATAAACGCTTTAGAGCTTCAAGTTTTTAGTACTCCCTACATTTGTCGTACTAAATGAGCTATTTGTTTGGATTTAGTTGCAAAAAGTAAAATAATATGAATCGGACCGAAATTATAGTCGAATAAGGTAACTTAAGATATATTTAACACTTAAAGTATGCCTTAGTCTCAAAATATGGTTCGTCGAAAGTGGATTAAGGCCATGACTACATTGTATGGGCAGCAGCTACGGGAGATTATTGTTTTAGTGATCTATTGAATACTCAAATTTTATTATATTATTTGCAACAATAGTTGGTAATATTAAAACTAAATAACCTACTACCCTACATCTATTGGTTTTACTTAAGAAAATTGTACATTCTTTAAAGTTGCTAAGCCATGGTAAAAATTTCTACCTTTTCCTATGTTTTGTTATCATATCTCGCTAAGATAGAATCGTGTTATGTTTTAAATCAAAACGGATGTTAGTCACAATCAAAAGTTTATATGTTTGTATACATATTAACATAAAAGTTAATATGTATAAGAATTTATATTCTCATTGCTTGTTACCCTAAAATACTTTTGTCAGTACGCATCATTTTTATTATATACATAGATATCATAATGTGTAATTACTCATTGTGATTTTACCAGATTGTACTTTTTGCATCATTGTATGCAAATACAGTGGCAATGAAGATTCTAGTTAGTTTTTAAATTAACTAGGATCAACATCACTTTAGGAGTTTTAGTACCGTACATCTATTATTATTTATCTGTTGCAATTGTGTTACTATATTTTAGTTAATTTGATGTTGATGAAAAGTTCTGACATATATCTGAAGAATATTTCTTCAGATATATGTCAGAACTTTTTAGGAAGTTCCTACCTATTTACCACCAACATTTTATAAGCAATGTAGGTCTTTGTCGTAGAACAACGTAATTCTTAGTACAAATTCATCAGATAATAATAATATTTCGGAAATCTAACACATATACGTCATCTAGTTTCAAACTAAGCAGAGCTTGTATTATAAAAGATAGATTGACTGATAGAATACTTAATACTTTTTTTTTAAATTACATACATATTATACATAGAAAACACCCAAACTCCGAAACAAATATTTGCAGATCATACAAACATTTGATCCAACCCGGGAATCGAACTCGAAACCTCAGCACAGCAGTTGCATACGCTACCACTATCACACCGAGGCATTATCATCACAATTTTCTACCCTTGCCTCATTTAAGAATTGATGGTAAGTGAATACAGCCGCTCATGGACATCTGTAACTCAAGAGTCACATATGCATTGCCGCCCTTTGAACCTCCAGAAACTCAAACTTCAGAATACAGGGGGAGCAAGGCAGTATAAGGCTCTGCCAAACTCACTTGATGAAAATCACCAAAAGAATTGCTTACCACTAATATTATTATTTAATAATACAAACTTATGAATCTAGAGGTGTCATACTACAGGTGTGTGCATGACCCAGTTCTCGAGAATGGTCGGGTCACTTTGAACTGGGGACTTTAATATATCTATTACCACAGACAGGACTATTGTTGCCAATAAACCGGATATTATGGTGATAGATCAATTAGAGCAGGGGTTCCTACACCTATTTTGTTTACTGCCCACTTTGAGAATAAATTATTTTTTAGCGCCCCCATTTTTTTACCTTCTTAAAACCACTTTAACTTCAAATTAAATTAATTAATTATTGTGAGCTATATTAGCGGAGATTCAACATTCATTCTAAACGAGACTTTTACTATAACCCACAAGAGTTAACTTGAGACCTGAACTTAGTAGGTAGTACAGAACGGCGCCCAGGTCTCAAGTTCGTAAGTTCATAAGTTAACTCTTAAGGGTTACACCTGCCAATAATAATGATTATTAAAACGCAACTTCATTGTATTTTCATTTGCGGTTTTGCGAGTAATAGCTGGCAAAACCGCAAATTAAAATAAAATGAATATTACGTTGTTTATATAGGATTGCATAAGCAGCACACACCGACAGGAATAAGATAAACATGCATAAACTCGATTATCTCATTCGACGCTCAATCGTACTCAACAAGTATTCTATGAACCAGCCGATTGATACAGGAATGCACTAATCGGGTTATTTAATAAAAACTTGTTAAATCATGATTGCCCGCGGTCTATTATCTACGAAAATGAACTATCTAGGAATACTAATAACTATTAAAATGCTAAAGTGTGTCTGTTGCATTTTTATTTGTTTGTTTGTGTCTACTTTTATTTCGAAACGGAGCGACCGGTTGTCATGATTTTTATTTTATGTATTCAATAAAACAGGACGGATATATGAACTAATGAGTTTGAGCAATCTCTTAATTAATATTAGTTGATGTTCACAACGTGTAGGACGCCCACAGGCCAGATGGAGTGACGGTTTGCGCAAGATGGCTAGCAGGAGCTGGATGAGAGAAGGCCAAAATCGATCTAAGTGGCGTGCAATGGGAGTGGCCTATGTCCAGTAGTGAACTGCGATAGGCTGATGATGATGATGTTCACAAGTTGTAGTCGAGAGTCGAGAGCTCAGTCGGTGTCTAAGAGTCCTCCTAGCTGGATGAAATTACAAATCGCCCCCAAGCATCTACACAACGCCCCCATTTTTTTTCTGGGTCTCTTACCCACTTTGGGGTGGGGGGGGGGCTTTAGGCCTGCAGCGCCCATAAGGGGGCGTTATCGCCCGCTTTGGGAAAGGCTGGATTAGAGGGTCGCGCGAGTTGAAAAAGAAAAGCAAAAAAAACTATTTGGGTTTATCTTCTTTTTTTATGTTAGAGGGGGCAGACGGGTCACCTGATGGAAAGTGACCTTCGCCGCCCATGTACATCTGCAACTCAAGAGTCACAAACGAGTTGCCGGCCTTTTAGGAAGTAGTACGCTCGTTACTTGAAGGTTTGAAGGCCGGACTAATAGAGCTGTAGGTGGTGGGCCGGAGTGAAATACTGCCTCGATCTGTTCAGCACACCGAGCCGACCTGTGTGTTACCGCAAAGAATTGGACTATAGTCGGCCCCAATCTGAAGTTCCAATTTCAGACACAAGTTTGTTTCGTCTCTCGATGACGTTTTCCTGAGAAATATTGGGGCGGGCGGTGTATGCATAGCAATGGATGCTACTAGTTTGCAACATGTCATTGATATGCAGAAGAAATAGTGTGGGTGATAGCACACAGCCTTGCGGGTAACCAGCATTTTGAATTTCAAGTCGGAATATGCACCGTCGACAACGACGTTAATGCTTCTGTCCGCAAGGAAACTGGTGACCCAATTACACAATTTCTCGGCAAGTCCATAGGAAGGGAACTTTGAGAGAAGCGCCTTATGTTGCGAGACGCATTAATGGAGATGTCCGTTGTGCTCTCGAAACATTACCCTACGCATCTATAATTATCATAATCACAGCTTTAAAGACGTTTAATATCCGTAAAACTGTATCAGTGACCCTAAATTTTATTCTCCCCTCTAAAAGATTAAATTCTCTTAATAGCACTCTCAAAACTAATCGGCATTGCGCTTTCTTTTATTTTTATTGTGATTTTTATCTTATTGATATTTCGAACACATCGTGAGGCATTATAAACATAACAGATTATTATTTAATATATATATATATATATATATATATTTATATTAATTTAAAATAATTAATATACTTTAAATAATTCCATAATTCCAAAATCAGTGGAAACCAATAATTGATTGAAAGCGACTAATCAAGTATTCCTCATAGTACAGACTAGGGAATAAGGGAGAAAGAAAAAGTACAACGTTCACCAACTGAGTTATAATCTTAATAAGATCATTCTAATACAGGGTAACTCTTACAAAGTGCGTCAATACCTCAAAGGTTTAAAGTACTTAGATACTTAAGCCTTGGCTTCACGCAGTTCCTTTTCGTACTTAGTACGATATTTGTTTTCAGGATCGTATTTGGCAGTAAGTTCGTTCCAATATTCTTCCTCGTTGTTGATCATGTGACTGAGGACGCGTTTAGTACCCTCTTTCTGTTTATCAGTACACTTGCCACAGTTGTTCTCTAATGCTTCAATGACGTGATCTGTAATATCGAGATAATTTTTGTTATATTAGTGTTCATTTTTGGAAAAATAACAAGTTTTTGAGAGGATCCATATAGCGATCTATAGATATATCATCGATCATAGATCATAGGGTTCTACATTCGGTATATCTAAGTTCTACATTCGGTTCTAAATACGCTTATCGAAGCTTTGGCCGAATGTAGAACCCTATATGGATCCTCTTATGTAATCTACACATAAATTAATTTTTAAAAGGTGAGGAAAACTGACATTTTTAACCGACTTCAAAAAGGAGGGGGTTTTCAAATCGTTTTTTTTTTGGTATAAAACTCATAACTCCGTCATTTATAGACGTCGTTCGAAAGGGGTTTATTCCGAAATCGTCTCCTTTAAATTTCATATTGATCTGATGATGAGTTTCGGAGACAGACAAATGAACTCTTCAATAAAAGACAGCAAGTGAACCGCGATTGCTGCTAGGTTTTTAGTGCTCTTTGTTAGTATTGTTTGAAGTTGGTTCAACTTTTTTTAAGGATTCATCTTGTCACTTTTTTACAGTTCACAGTTGAAAATAAGCCTACCTTTCAGTTCCTTAGCGTCAGGCGTGCATTTGCCTTGATCGAGCATACACTTGATGTAGGGTATGAGTAGTTTATTATTACTCAGGATCTCGCCCAGATCGACGTTGTCATAGCGGTCGGTGTAGTGGTCATCATCAGGTCTTGCCAGAGCCATGGCGCCAAAGAACAACACACAGAATGCAATGGCGGATTTCATTTTGATCCTGACAAAAATATAAAAACGGTTAGAATCTATATTTATAAAAATATTAAGTTTGTTTGTATACGCTTCAAAACCTCAAAAGTTATGCACCGATTGAGCTCAAATTGTGACGATGTTTCATAGATGGTTTTTGTTTTTTTTATTAAAACTACAATGAGCCTACTAGAACTAGAACTAGACTACGAAGCGTCACAGAGTTCAGCTAGTTTTTATAAAATTGATCATTTTTCCATATTCCCTTTCCTTGACATGTGCAAATACTGTAATTGGAAATGCGCACTACATGCTACATATTACTATATAGTCCATCTGAAGGTTGTTTAAAACAGATCGCAGGCTGCGATAGGCCACCCATTTTATCACTTTTTTTGTTTGTATTCTACTATGTATGTATTCTAACCATCGTGTGCAATAAAGAGTACCTTTCTATCTATCACAAATGCAACAATCTAGATAATATCTCACACACTCTATATAGGGTTAATAAGAATTACAAATACGACAATAGAATATTCCCCGCCTTATATTTATTTATTTAAATATTTTATACACAAAATTGCACAATGGCAGGTTTAAAGACAAAATTATTCAATATATATATATAATATTTTATTTAAACCAATATAATCATAATAATAACCTAACACATCTCACAAAATAAAATATTTAACTTGTCTTTTAGAAAATAATTTTTACTTTCATTATAATTAAAATAACTGGTACGTAGATTTATATTTAAATTGTTGAACTATATAACGTATGGTGACTTGTTGTAATTGTTAGTTTTGGTGTTCAATTTATATAAACACATAAATTAAAAAGCCATATCTATCCGTCACTTTTAGCCGACGGAAAACAAATTAATAATTTAAAAATTAATCAAATCAATTTTATTTAGAGCGGCCAATTTGTGGCTTCCATGAGGCGCGAGGGGTCAAGTAAATAATTTTGATAAATTTTAATGGATTAGAATATTATACTTACCTATATACAGATTTCCGATTTCACGAGAAGCTTGGCCAGGGTTTTACTAAAACTAACGACGCGATAGGCGCTTATATATGATTATTTTAGACTCCACCATTTAGCTTAATAACGTCACACTTAATGAAGCAAAAACACAGGTACAAAAGACACTCGTTTATGACAAACACACACATGACAGTGGAAAAAATTTGTTTGTTACTTTTAAAAGTTTAATTATTTTATGGAATTTTTTTAACGTTACTGTTAGAAAAAAAAAACAATTAACTTGAAAATCATGGTATACCTTTTCGCCATTGATCTAAATTGAATTGATTGAAATTGAACTTGGGATTTGGATTGGGAAGAATTTATTAAAAAAGGCTGCTTTGGTTGAGATTGTTAACAGATGGAATAATTTAATGTGAAATATCGATTTTTTAACTGACTTTTCATTTTTTAAATTAAATTAGAAAGTTGTTTGAATTTTTAGAGCCGGTTTACTTGAAGCTGTACATTTTATCTTAAAAAATGTCTCTTACTCTTCAACAGCGGCAATAATAAATAAATAAATAAACACAGAGTAGAATACAAAACACTCTGCTTTGATGAGTTGGAAGAATATTATAGTGTGTGTAGTATACACTGCCTTAATCAATCCTTTTTTCTTAGGGTAGTTAGAAACAAAGGCCCGCTCCTTGTTTGTTATCCTTACGTACCGTTTTTCCTGTCACATAGCTTCATCTTCTGTCATTAAATCTATCAGATATTTTTACTAGTCTGTTTTCAGAACATCACAAACTTGATCAGGATACGTACAGTGTCGTCGACGCCTATCGGCTTTTCGCTTTGCTTTAATTAGAACTATGTTTACAGCTTGGACAATAAATATAGAATGATTCATAGTAAAATTATGAAAAGCACATAAAAAGTGAAGGTTATAAGCAGAGCGCAGATTTCTGTTATTTCTATCTAGATTTCTATCTAGCAGTCAACTAATTTCCACCACAGCAAAACCCAACCGTTTGTTTTTTCTTAACACAACATTAATATTTAATCTATATCTATTGAATAAGGAACCTGACAGACAGATTCACTGACTGATCGATCAATGCACAGCTGAAACCGTTGGGCCTATAACCATGAAATTAAGCACAGTTATTCCTTAAGTGACGTAGGTGTGCACTAAGAAAGGTATTAAAAAAATTACTAACCTAAGAGTGCAAAATAGGGGTTCGAAATTTATATGAAACTTCGTTGTTTTTGATAGTAGCGTTTCCCTAAATCGCTGGGGCTACAAACTTGGCAACAGATGATTTTATGTTGTAAGCACCCACTACGAAAGGATTTTTGGAAATTCCACCACTTTTTTTGTTTTTTTGTAACTGTAAGCAAGATTATTTTTTGTTCATTACCATTTTAAATAAATACGAATCTTTGAAGTGAGTATTTTTTGTCTTAGGCAAATGATTTGTAGTAAGTATAGATAAATGAAAACAAAAAAAAATTGTCACAATAATAAAATACTCTTTAAAATAATAGTCTAGTCTTAAAGCTCATCAACCTACTGAACTAAAATGTGTTTATCGTTTTAGCAGAATACGGAGGCGCCCATTGTCTACGCAATGGTTACTTGCATTCAGGTTTGAGAAAAGAACTATATACAGTACATGATGCTGAAAGCTGAAATAGTGTAGTTTGAATCTTATAGCCTACTTCAGTTGGTTCGGAAACTCATGTGACTAAAGTAAGATGCAGTAGTGATATTTTTACGTCTTTTAGACATATTTTATACATCCTAATGGAATCCAACTCCACTAACTACATATAAAAGAAAAATATCAGTCAAACTAAATGTTCTTTTAAATTGTAATGATATCACAAGTGTTACAAATCATTCTTTAAAAATATTTTAGTGAAATTTCTTCAAAAAAATCAGAATAGAGAAATAAAAACAAAAATTTGTGACAGAATGATTCACACTGTGGGAGCCTAGTCAGGCATCAAGACGATTGCTGCAGTTATAATTATTTAGGACTATTCGCGCAGTTCCTTCTCGTATTGGGTCTTAAACTTGTTCTCAGGATCATACTTGGCACTGAGCTCGATCCAGTATTCATTCTCGTTGTTAATCAAGTGTCCTATTACGCGACGTGAATTCTTTTTTGCGGCTTGGTTCACTTTAAACAATTGTTCTCAAGCGCGTCAAAAATATGCTCTGAAAACCATTAGTTTAATATAAAACAGTCTAATATATTAGTCCATACCAAGTAAAAAATTCAAAAAAGTGCTCAAAGCAACGGGGTAGTACGATGATACGAAAGATTTCATAAAATTAGTATTAACATTTATTTTTTTCAAGAAGACAACTCCAGTACGAGGAATATAGCCTATATCGCGGAGGTCTTTACAAACATATATTTACATATATAAAACACCTAGACTCAGATCAACAATGTGTCTATTTAATAAAGTGTTCTGATCGTGTCCGTTTTAGGCGAAATAACAGTGATGTATCTTCTGCAAACAACACAATCTCGAGATTGTCCTTGACAAGGTGAGGTAAGTCGTTAAAATATACCTAAAACAAAAAAGGGCCGAGAATAGAACCTTGTCTAACCTTGTCGTTTTCGTCGAAATAACAGTGATGTATCTTCTGCAAACAACACAATCTCGAGATTGTCCTTGACAAGGTGAGGTAAGTCGTTAAAATATACCTAAAACAAAAAAGGGCCGAGAATAGAACCTTGTCTAACGCCCATTTCTACCACAGAGCCTGGAGACGGCTCACCATTAATCCTCCTTTTTTAAGAATTTGAGTTTGAGTTGAGTTCATGTATGAATAAAAGCAGCCTATATCAATTCATGGTATACGAAATCAGTCTAATCGTCTTTTTAACAATGTGTGTGTTTACAATCTTAAGTCTCTAATTCAGCAAACAATACTTTTTTGGCATCGTAACAGTCATTATTCGGTAGCCTTGTTTTTTTTGATAATACTAATAAATGGCGCTATACAACATCATATTTTTACATTCATAATATTTTTGTTTCTCATATTCTGCTATATTAACGTAATATGATGATGTCTTGAACTTCGACTGGCGAGCACAAATTTAGTGTTAGAAATTTTGTCACTTGAGACAGAATATAATTGAGGAGCTGAATTTATAGGTTTTTTTTTTCAAATCTGGAATTTAGCGTCAATATTTTTAAGTCGGATTGCCTCCTATTGCTCAGTAACCTATAGACACTAATTCGCCTCTTAGACCGTCGTGGAGCAACCTCTACCCAGTCTTCATACGGAATGTCACATGCTGTTTGGTTTCATTTTAAGAGGTCCTTGTAGCGCGGGAAAACTGACTCTCCGGGTGTGTTATCCCCGAGAGAGTTCAGAGAAAAAATCAAGTCAGGTGGGAGGTCTGGAGAGAATCTTTGGAAGGCTTAAAATCTGGTCCTTCAAGCCAACCTTACCTGTAAAAGGTGATCTTAGTGATAGTGATAGGTGATCTTAGTGAAAAACGGATATAGCTTAGTAAGGCAACGTGGTAAATCTTGAGGGCGTTGGCTAGGATCTATTTGATAGCTAACGGCCAGTCACTGCATCCTGCCTCATCACCGATGGTACCAGGAAACTGACCGATCAGTCTATTGTGTCACAGAACGAGGGGATGAGCTTACGCCTAAGCAACTTAACTATGAATATGAATTTCACTTAAAAAGCAGGTTAGGGTTATGCGTCGTTCAAGTTTAAATTAATCTTCGAGGTTTAGCGCTAAAAATTAAATGCAACTCTATTTGGTTTTGTCCAGTGCATCTATTTCACCATTTGCAAGTGAATGATCTAGGCGTAATTGTATATATGAAATGACGATATTTCTTCTAAAAACAGCTGACAACAGTGCCCTGGAGGCACGTGTGTATCAGGGAGTGTAAGTGGGTATACGTGTGCAACTGTGTTGCATAAGTTTACGACTGCGAATGTTTTCAGAGTAGTCAATAATTTTATTAGAAACCAAGTTTTCTATTCT